TCTCTTTCTCTCTCACACCCTGCCTGCAAATTAGTCACATGACTGTTCACTGCACAGCGGGTAGTCTGCTGTATCGATTATTCCTGCTCCAATGCACACCCAATGTTCAGTCTGTGTTTACAGCTAAGGGATGAAACACACGATGCATTCATCGTAATGTGTTTTCTTACACGTGACATTTAGTCAAATCCCTTTTGTTCTACTCTTTCCTTCATATTCATTTGAGAGGCAAAGGTACTCGGAATTAGCCTGAGTGGTAACAAGCACCAATAGCAGTCACTCGTTGTAAGCTTCTTGATTCTTCATAGATAGAAAGGAAAGGAAGAAATTGGAAGATGGTATGTAGGAACATGCATTATAAACAGTGTGATATGTTGATTGCGCATGGGCTGAGAATATGTAGGGATATTTGTCTGTGTTTCATCTCCATCTTTTGAGGAATTACCTGTGACGAAAACGACTGACACTGTGAGATCGGTGGATAATTCGAGAAATATTGAACAACAACTTGTAGGTGCAATTATACGCTGGAACAAGAATGTTTGGAGCTATCCGGTTCACTGATGACCGTTCTCAACTGGTGCCTCTTGGCGCTGGAATATTCACTGAAGGAGGAGAACGATCGAAGCACGCAAGCGCTGATTCGTTGTGCATGCGCATATGCGAACAGCAGATTCGTCCGAGCTCTGCTCTACATTCATGAGCGCATCGGTGCAGGTTATTCATTTTAAGCTTTTCATATATTTATGTAAATGCAAGACGTATACTGAGGAGATTAGCGTATGTGTATGTATGTATGTATGTATGTATGTATGTGTGTATGTATGTATGTGTGTGTGCATGTATGTGTGTTTGTATGTATAAGTGTGTGTATACATGTAGGTATTTATGTAGGTATGTATGTATGTAGGTATGTATGTGGGTATTTATGTATGTATGTACATAAATACCCCCGTATGTATGTATGTATGTATGTATGTATGTATGTATGTATGTATGTGCGTGTCTGTATGCGTCAGTTTCGCTAGCAGACAAATCTACAAAATTGAGCTTTGAAGAAATCAGTTTTCATCTTTTAATTTCTTAGGACTTAAAATCAGATTTTTTTCAAAACAGCCTCATTTTGATAACTTTTTTATCCGTCAAAATGAGCAAGCTTCTTTCCAGTATTAGGAAAGC